ATTAATAACGAAAAGATCGTTATAATAAACGTTAAATAAACATAATAATAAAGAAGTAAAGTAAAATAAAAAATAATAATTTTAAAAATGATGAAAATTAATACGATTTTTAAATAATAATTCAAAAATAATAATAAGGAATTCAATAAAATAAAATTTAATTAATAAAATGCTTTTTTTATAATGCGGTTGTGTTCTGACTTTTACCTGTTTGATACAGATAACACCGTGAAGGGAATGATGGGCTTCCTGACACCAGAACAGCGTGCTGTCGCGCAGAAACGCATGGTCAAAGCCTTGGCGGAATTCTCGGCAGAAGTGATGTGAACCGTGAATTTGATTTATGATTTTCTGCCTTTTTTTTCCTTTTGTTTGTGTACTGAATCTAACTATGAGTCGCGATCTCTGTAGAACGACAGAAGTTGTAATCGGGGCTTTCTTTTCTAACTTTTCTGACATGGATTTTATTGTTTTTACTAACGCTGGATATGTTTGCTCAACTTGATGACATTTGCTCCCTGTTTTAATTATGCACGGATTTTTATCATTTCTGTTTGCGTTGATAAATAAGAGCATATAAATTTGTAGTTTTCACATGGAGCCATGCATCCGCATGAAGATCCTAAGGAGATATCAAACAATGAACGAAAGAAAATAATAAAAAAACCTTAAAATGTTTTTAACTTCTTTTTTAAATTTGCTGACGTTAATGTTTTTTTATGTTTCTTACTCGTTCCCACAAGTTACCAAAGTCGCTTTCTAAGAACTATCATGTAAATGACATATTCAGATAAGATGAGGTTAAAAATATTGCAGTATTATTAATTTTGTATATTAGAATTTAGAACCTAGAAGGTAAACGTTATAAATAAATCGTAATAAATCCCTGGAGATCGTTGGTTACTGAGCGTATGGTCATGTGATATCAAATTATCCCCGCTTGGCGTATAAAGCGCTTAAACACGACGTAGATTGGACCAGAATTTTGATGACGGTCTGGCAATGTGGCGCCTTTATTTGATTCATGGAAATTTTGATGCGGCATAAATTATCGCGAATGGCAGACAAAGAGTCATTAGTGACCACTTAGCACGATGCTAGAGTATCAACGCAGATTTATTCTCCGATCATCCTTTTCACGAGAGTGATGCCGGTGTCAATCGGCAAAATTAAAATATGTACGGCATATTTAGATGAAACAGATTATTAACAAGCGTCTTCTTATTAACAAGCGTCTTAGCGTCTTCTCAGATCAACCTCGAAAACCATCTTGACGAGTTCACTCGTGGTAGTCTGTGATATTCACAAAATTTTTCACTCATCTACGGTATGCGGGGAAATCTGAGCATACCTATCTGTAATTATGCGATAATAGGCGTTTGCTGCAGTACGTAATCAAAGCCGTGACAAGTGCAGTTTGTCGATCGAGGGCTTTTGACAGACAGCGCATTAATAAAGTTATTCTCTCCTTTTGTTTGTACTAGAGATTTCTTTAGCCGATTGGCAGAAAAATGTGAAGAAAACCCTTGTGACATTGAAGGTCAAAAGATATCAGTGAACGGAAACTGGTCGAGCCATTTCCGCTAATAACTGGTAGCGGATGACCTTTAAGTACCAGTACATTTGGCCGCGGACTGGTCCGCTAATCCACTTACTCGTAACTATCTGTACAAAGAACAACAATTTTTTTGTTTGGCGGCTAGCGGGCTGCCATAAGCGGAATATCACGCATACATGAACTTAACACTGCGAAAACGCACATTGCCGTCCATCCGCTGATTCATACACCTTATCTCAGAATTCTGGGAGACTTTGATGAGTGTACAGGGTTATCACTTGAAACGAATACAAGTCATCGTGTCTGTTTGTGGCATCTTTCAAAGTAGAAGAACCACACGGCGATCACGAACTGCTCCATATCACTGAAATGATTGAATGGTTTGAATCCATATCAGAATAAACTAAAGATTGCAATCCGTCACGTCTGCATCAGTCTGCCTTCGTGCGTATGAAAAACGCATATTATGTGAAGTCAGTTTGCAGCTTGCAAAAGTACTTGCAAGAAGTTGTATACACAGATTGTATACAGTCCCAACAATTTGCCCTTAAGATTCAAAATTTCAAATTTACGGCTCGGCATGAACGAAACACCGCCAGTCTATTCCACTTCGTAGTGACTAGTGGGTACAAAGTTATAAACGCCTATGGCAGTTGTTATACGAGGGATACCACAAACTGCTTTTACAATGCCATTTCCGGTTGTACATTAAACTTTCCGAAATCTTCTGTCCGCTGATTCTGCATATCCTGGCGCCAAAGATTTCTCTGCCACGATAATTCTCCGCAGTTAGAATGACGAACCCTCCCGTGCAGCCCGTGTCTCACAGGCACCGTATGAACCCGGCCTGGACGAATAAACTCATCGATCTAGTGAAGAAGCAACCGCAATTGTAGAGCAGGATGATCCGCTGTACCAGGAGGCCATGGCGGAAGATAAGGAGGACGAATGGAAGTTGATCACGGCTGCGTTGGGACATCCTCAGTGTACAAATTTAGCTTCAAGTTGTATGCTGCGTGTACCAGCATTTCTTTTATGATAGAACTAACAGAAGGATGATGCTGCAGATGAGTTCAAGAAAGTACGCACACTGTGGAAAAACTTGAAAGTCTCTTACGCTGTCCGTCTGGGACGCAAGCGGAGCGTTCGCGATCGGGCGGACCGCGTACAATCCACCATGGCGGTATTTTGAGAGATTGTCCTTCATGCAACCCTACATTCGGCCAAAAATTGACACAAAATACGTACTCATAGAGAAAATTTAATGCCGCAACTGGTTTTGATAATGTAGCCATCGAGGAAATTATATACTCTGCATGTCCAGCTAGTAACTATGGTAGTATTTTCACTATAATACGCTTTGCCGGCTTTGGTAATAATTTTCATATGGACTGTAACAAATAAAATTATTGCGTACCTACTACTTACGTTATAGTTACGTATACAAATAGCTGTACTGCACTTACTTATTTCATTTCTTTAATACGAAGTCGAGGGTTTCGCTAAGGAGACGAGTGACACGCGGCGCGGCTGCTACCAAACGCGTCCGATTGGTTAGCGACGACAGCAGCTCCAGTGCGGAGGAATCCGTTAGCGTGGACAAAACGGCACTGCCAGACACTGTCGCCGACAACTGCCCGCTGGATGTGGACGAGTTTGACCGGATGTGGCAAGGCGAGTCTGGACGTGCAGCCACAGCATCACTAGCGTCACCGGCCATGGATTCTGCGCTAGTGCTGGATCCCGCAACGAGCATGGAGAGCAATTATTCTGCATTTTGTAAGTACAAGCGGCATGCGTATATACAGCGTATATAGGGGCAAAAGTAAACGTGTTCCACCGTTCCCTGTACTGCTGCCGTCACCCGACTGGGTTTGACGTTGTGGCTGAACATGGCGCTTACCTACCGCGCCAGATTTAACCATATGTACTGCCGTAACGTCACACTCCAGGCGGGTGACGGCAATTCAGAAAACAGTGGAACTCGTATATATACAATAATCGGCATGACATTGTATGTACTGTACACAATAATCGTGTGCGTATACAATAATCGGCATGTGTGTATACAACTAGCAAGCGCATCAACAATATCTGCTGCACTAATGCATCGGAAATACTTGTACCTTTTCACGGTGACCTTTCACGATGGTATTGTGGTTGCTGATTATTATCAAACGAAGTCAGTTGTGAGCAGTATGACTGATTTTGCAGTTAACACTCTGAAAGGCATGATGGTCTATTTGACACCGGAACAACGCATCGGCGTGCAGAAACGCTTGATCAAAGCCTTGGCGGAATTCACAGCGGACGTCATGTAACAGTCGCGCTGCCATTTTTTCTTTTTTAGATAATCTATACTCGCACAGTTGGCCTGGGAATTGCCTGTTCGCGCTATAGACTTTTACTAAAATTATACAGTACATAATCATCCGTTATGTGAAAAAGCAATCCGAGTTGTCGCAGTATCTACATCTTTGTTGTACAGCATGCTCTGCTCGATTTTACAATTTATTATTGCTGAGAAGCTTGCTCGGGGAAATCACAAACAAAAAGAAATAACTTGGAAAAAAAGGGCATCAAAATTGCGGGTAGGAGCTAGTCCGTTAAAAGGTGCGGCCGTAGTGCTTGACTTCCATTTCAGTGTGAGCGCACGCAAAAATTCACTCATCCAGTTTGATGCATCGGGAATTATCCGCTTAGTACTGTATGTGCGGCCAAACGTGATCATGTCTGTATTAAGCAAACCTACTCTGTACTGATAAAAGCCTTACTTTCCTTTAATATTTGTCGGTGCTCACTGCTTATGCGTTATAATTAACAGGAAAGCACATCGACAATTTAACATACAAATATCAATACTTTTTCATGCAAAATGTGCCTTCTATCAATTTGCTGCGCATGAGCTATTATTTGCAGTAAAGTAACTGTCACAGATCTGCGGTGTGCAATGTTTGCCTGATCTTTATTGGAAGTTATGTATCCAGTTACCTTGAGCAATTGATGAGTTATCCCTGGCCCGACAGGTTTACAGTCAGCTGTTCCCAAGCTTTTAACAAAATCTCGCATGGTAAGACAGAATGACCGGTAACATTCGACCGGTCAGAGACAAAAAATTGTAACTGAATTTATATAATTAGGCGGTGCGACTGCGCGGTGTTTTACAGAAAGCACAATTCATGAAAGATAGACTATATTAGTAGAGTCCATATCCACTTCATTACACTTTCAACAGATTCTGGTATATGACAATGTACCACCAATTGTAAAGAAATATGCGACGTGCTTACAGTTTATGCATACATGTGAAAACTTGCAGTACCTTTCTAATTATTTTTGTTCGCCGGGTTTGTATAGTGCGAAACACTACCCAAATAATCGATACTGGCGCGGTGTTGCTGCATGTACATACCGTGAATTTACGAACTACACGACACTAAGCCGGCATTGAGCTCCGGTTCATACCCGTAAAGACTTTCAAGTGGCCACCTACACTAGAAGTACTTGAAGTATGTGTTAAGTAAATTGGGGATATAGATATACCTTCAAGTGGCCAGACTTAGAATATTTCGCCCCATACTAATTTTCTTTCGGTTTTTTGGTACAGCATGTTAAACATACCTTACTCTCTTCAGAATACTTAAAAACTTCGAAATCGGTTGAACCGTTTTTTAGTTATAAACGTTGTAAAAAACCACTGACCAAAGTTGAAAGCTCAAGCCACGCCACGCGAGCCATTGCACTACATCAAACTTCCTGCCGTGACAACCGTGCGTGTGCGGTTGCAACGAATATTTACTTGTTCCTTATCCAATTTTTACTTTTTACTAAAATTACAGCACCCTCAACTGTACAAAAACAGTTTACGTCAAAAAGCAAGTTTGTGAATTCCTGCAACCGCACATGCAGTTAATAATCCTGCAACAAGTTCTGTACTTTTCTCTCGAACTCTAGTTTACCCAGTTCCACTTTTGCTCGTGTGACTGTAAAGAGTTTCTTAGGCTTGCAGATAATGATAACTATGCGGAAAATATATGCTGTTCCATTATGAGACATGCATAAGGCAGCAGTCGCAGGCCTTTCACGGTGACCTTTCTACAGTACTAAGTATAAGTTAATTATCGTCTTAGGGATGTGCTTGATGAGTAATATCAAACAAAGTCGATTCTGAATAAGGTGACTCGTTTTGCACTTAACACTTTGAAAGGCATGAGGGCCTTTTTGACACCGGAACAGCGCACCGTCATGCAGAAACACATGGTCAAAGCCTTGGCGGAATTCTCAAAGCCTTGGCGGAATTCTCGGCGGACGTGATGTGAACCGTGAAGCTAGTTGATTGATGGTTTTCCGCCGTTGTTTTCCTTTTGTTTGTGCACTGAATCTAACTGAAGGTAGCGCTCTCTTTGTAGAACGACAGAAGCCGTAACCAGGGGTTTTTGCTAACTTTGATGCATGACATGGATTTTTATTGTTTTCACTAACAATGGATTTATGTTTGCACAGTTACAGGTTTACATATATATATGCACGGATTTTGATAATTTCTGTTTGCGTTGATAGTTGAGAGTATATAGTTTCACACAGAGCAGCGAATATCTCTGAACAAAGTGTTCATTGTTGTTTTGTTGATTATACCGGTACATTGCGGGAAAAAATACTGTTTGGGTATGTGCTGGTACATGCTTGACGAAACACCATAAAATATGATTAAAATATATGATTGCACCGTAAAATATGGTTTCTGCAAATTGCAATGGGTTTAAATTGTGTAACCGAGATACAAAGTTCGTGTTACTAAAAGATTTTTGACAAATTTTATTTTGTTTCATTAACGTCAGGATGCCATTTAACAGTGTTGTCCAGTATTTGGGCAGTTATCAAACAACAAACGAAAGAAAATAATGAAAAACCTTAAACTTTTTTTAATTTATTTTTTAAATTTGCTGACGTTTATTTTTTATGTTTCTTACTCGCTGACACAAATCGCAAAAGTCGTTTTAGAAGAATTATTAACATTACACAGAAAAAAATAAAGCTAAAATTATCTAGGCTTGGCATAAAGCGCTTAAACACGACGTGGACTGTATCAGAATTTTGATGACGACCTGGCAATGTGGCGCCTTTATTTGATTTATTGAAATTTTGATGCGGCATAAATCATCGCTAAATGGCAGATAAAGAGCCATTAGTGACCACTTACCACGCGGCAATGAGTGTCAGCACGCGTTTATTCTCAGATCATCGTTTTCACGAGAGTAATGCCGGTGTCAATCGGCAAAATTAAAACATGTGGGGCGCATATTAGGTGAAACTGATTCTTAGCAGCGACATTAATTAGCGTTTTCTCAGATCGACTTACAGTTCACGAATTTCATGACAAATAGTTCGTAACTAGACTCATAGTAGTCTGTACAATTCACGAAATTATTTCACTCCCGCATCTGAAGGAAATCAGAGGCATATCTGTATGTACTGTTAATAGGCGTTTGCTGCAGTACGTATGCTACGTAATAAAAAAGCCGAGACAAGTGAAGTTTTGTCGAAACAAAACTACTTACTATAAATACTGTATATCGAGAGACTCTTGATATACAGTATTTATAGTAAGTAGTTTTGTTTGTACTAGAGTTTGTTTAAGCCGATCAGGAGAAAAATGTCAAGAAACCCATGTAAAAACCAAAGCCAGGAGATATCAAGTATTATCAGCGAAAATTGCTCGAACCATTTCCGCTAATACCTGGTAGCGGGTGACCTTTAAATGCCAACATATAACATTGTATACGTATTGTACAGTATTTGGCTATGGATAGGTCTAGAAATCTATCAATTCCTATTCGTAAATATCTATATAATATAAAACAATTCTTTGTTTGACAGCTATTCGTAGCTAGACAGCCGCATGTACAGCACAATCTTGGCTGCATAGCACAAGTGAACTTATTACACTGCAAAACCACAAATTGCCGCCCGCTTGCTGATTTATGCGGCCTTAAGCCGGAATTCTGGCAGACTTTGATGAGTGTACTGGGTTGTTTTAATTGAAACGAATACATTCTGTTAAAGAGGAAATTCCTCAAGACCTCAACAGATTATGAGCGACATTGAATTCAACCCAGAATGAACTACCCGGTTATATTCGAGAAAAAAGCGCCCATGTCTTCTTCATCCAAAAGATGTCCTTAGGATGAGTGTTTTTTAGTTTCAAAAAGCCATAATATAATTCCGTAGACCATGTATTTTAGACGTGAAAATGTACATAAAAAAGGGGCTCCATATACTGAAACATGCCTTTCTAAGGACGGCGTGTTGCGCTCCGACGATGTCTAAAGCACGTCAAAAAATTGCTTGCCGTAGAACCGGGCTAAAGATTAAAACCGGTCACGTCTGCATCGGTCTGCCTTCATACGTATGGAGTACGGTATAGACGGTATTTTAGCAAAGTTTGTAAATTAATATTATTGAGCTTTTCCGTTTGCTGCTGCTAGATCAGCTGCTTTCTGTTTGCAACTTGTTAGAACTACGGTATCATGTATCATGTACAGAGCCGTACCGTGTGTACCGTACCGTGTACCGTGTGTGTGTACCAAGTATCTTGTATCTGTACATACAGCTGGTATACAATCCCACACGATTTACGATTCACAGGCCGGAAACGAACAGAGCATTGTGATACTGAAACGAAATAAGCCAGCAGTGCCACTCCAATAAATTCACTTCGTACTAGTAGTACGAAACGCCTATGGCGGCTGTTTTACTTAGATCCGCTGGACATCACAAATCGTGAAACCGCATACAGTTCTGATTGAATATCAAACTTTTCAGATTTTGCATTCTACTCATTCTTTCCAAAATCTGCACTAGCGTTCTGCATACCCTGCCACGTTAATTCTCTCATTTCTCTGCAGTGAGAATGACGAACTCCACCGTGCAGCTCGTGTCCCATAGGCACCGCATGAACCCGGCCTGGACGAATAAACTGATCGATCTGGTGGAGAAGCAGCCGCAGCTGTGGAAACGGGATGATCCGCTGTACAGTGAATCCACGGCGGAAGATAAAGAGGACGAATGGAAGTTGATCACGGCAGCGTTGGGACATCCGCAATGTACGTATTCCACTCCATGGTGTATGGGGTCTGTACATTCCTATGCCGCTCGATGAAATAACAGAAGGACGATGTTGCAGATGAGTTCAAGAAAGTACGCGCCCTGTGGAAAAACCTGAGAGTCTCTTACAATGTTCGTCTGGGACACCGAGCGGAGCGTTCGCGATCCGGGCGGACCGTGTTCAATCCGCCGTGGCGGTATTTTAAGAGACTGTCCTTCATAAAGC